ACTCGAAGCTTGCAAACGTTGCTGATATGCTGTGCGATTCGTTCGATGAATGGACTGGTAACGAATCTATGCCAAGCGTATTTGCAAAGCTGTATTGTGCAAACATCATGCATTTATTAGTTAAACAATAGCCTCAGAAAGCTAACTCGACCCAGTAGACTACTGACGTAATGGAAGCTCTGGGGGATAGTTTTCTTCCCACATTGACATCAGTTTTACTTCAGTATTATGTAAACACTGTATCTTTGCTTTAGTACATGTTACATCTGCTTATTGATAATTTCAGTTCGTTCCCAAGACTTTCGTGAAAAGCTGATTTGTGTCTAAGATCATGGGAGATCAGCGAAAATTCCTGAATTTTACGGAAGATATCGTACTTGGTTGGTAGAACATTAGGTTTTTCCTATATCTAATGTTTTCCCATTTGTTTTTGTGTCTTTTGTTTCTTCTGTGAACTCTGAATAGCAGTGTGTCTTAACTTAATCTAAAAAGTATCTTAGATCATTTGAAATAATCAATACTTATTTTCTGCTCTTTTATTCGTCCGTTATGCTTGATTTGTAATTGGTGCTTACCGCCCTTGTTTCACTTTTAACGAAGACTTAAGACAGAACTGCACTCGTCCCGTCGTTTTTCTTTCACGTTATAATATGAACAGATAACGATGTCTTTCTCTCTGTTCGTCTGTCCATTATTGACCATGAGGTGTATCAGTGCTCTAGTCTGAGCGATTGCCACAAACTGGTCGTTACACAGAAGCCATTAGATAACGTGTTTCCTCTAATCACATCTCTTCCACAAAAGGCCATATAACCCTGTTACAGACAGACTCTCGCGCTTATTGACGCGCTTTCTTTACAAGTGTCATAGGTGGTACTGCAGGGACAAAGGGGATACGCTTTACGCTGAATCCTTTCAGAAAATTTTAGACGCACGTGTTGTAAATAATTTGTGGTTATTCTTCTGTCCTTTTTTTACCAAATCATCTCCAGAAAACGATGTTTAGAATTTGCAGAAGCCAATCAGATTACTTTAGTCTTGTAATTGTCTGATAAGTAACATTTGTGCCAAGTTGCAGTCGAAAGTTGACTATATCAATAAAAATGTAATATACAGATTGCTATATAATAATTTACAATTCCTTAATGGTATGGTTTTATATGTGTTACGGTTCCCTACTCAAATCACATGCAAAATTTGTATACGAAATTGGCAAAATGCCATGCGCGCATTTAGCCTCGGATCAATCTTATGCCAGCTTAAACAGTGTTCCCAAAGTCGGCCTTGCTTTGATCAAACCATACTGAATGTAATTGCGTTTGTATTGGCAAGTATTTCATTTAAAATTCAGCTGAATTCGAAACGGGATTAATATAGATGTGTTTTGTCACCAATGAAATGCGTTTCGAATCTCCGTAGAATCCTACAATTTTTTTCAACCTACCAAATAAATCTTTAATTATACATGCACTTCTTTCATTCCTCAGTGCTACAAAAATCCACTGTCAAGAGTGACACAGGTACGGTCGGGCGGGGAATTCATCGCTTACAATTGATTCCCCTACAATCTCTAATGGGATTCTCTTCGATTTTAACTCGAAAAAATATTTTCCTAATTTCCGTGCGATCTTTTGTATTGAGAGGCCTTGTGGGTTACGTAGTCGTGTTGGGCGTGAAGTTTAGAAGTCTCCCTGACAGAGCGACAGAGTGGAGGTAATCCCCACTAAAGTTTCCATTAGAATCGTGCTAGTCTGGCAATTTTCAATAGTTATTTACGAGGGTGACATATTCAAGAATCAACCGTTTTGCTCGCAGTGCAACAAGCAGGAATTGAATTTGAATTCACTTTGGATTTATCCTGTCAAATGCCGTTGGAGGTGGAGACCGGGCCAATAAAGGACTGATCCAGCCAGAGTGGCTGAATTAACAATTGCAATCGCCTTTTAAGGTCCTGAGCCATAACAGAGGAAAGATCCACTTGGATGTCTTTGACATGATGATGAATTGATAGAGGACCCATAATTTCGCTGGTGCTATATTTGTCATTCGGATATTGTTTTTCAAAGATTATAAAGTTAAAGAATCCGTTGAGTAAGATTGATGAGAAATTTGTAAACTTTACAAAATGTTAACACTTACATGTAATATATACTGCAATCCTGAAACTGCTTGGTTTGTGCGTGCTGTTATTGTTGCGTTGCTTATGATACGAAAACTCAAGCTCTTTAATAATAGAAATAGTAGGCTCGAGATCGTTTGGCCTCGACAAGAGCAATTAACAATTTGCATATTGACCTTTCCGCTTTGTGTTTGTATTGTGTTTATAATACTGTCATTTGCTTTGTATCACACGAAAAGAATATCTCAAGTAAACATTATTTAATTTTCTTCGCAAGACAAATATCATGTAAACAGGAAAATATCTTTCTTTTCGCATCATGCGAAATAAAGATCCCAAATGATGGTTCATGATTTTTACCCTCGAAAGGAAATAAATGTGTAAAATTTGAAGTAATGTAAATATATATCAATAGGATGAGGCAACGTTTCATGTAATACAAAATGTCTAAAACGTTATTTTGTTCCCCGAAGTCGCCGTAGGCATGGAATATTAGAGAAAGTGTTTTTATCCTGCCCACACAACTCCAACAACCCAGGTGGAGGATAAAATGGTCTGGGGTGGATGTTGCGGTATCTGTGCTGTAGCATTCAAGTGAGGTGGCACTATAAATGATACCGTTGGAAGCACGGTTCCACTACAAACAGAACACAATACATCTACAGCACACACACAGGCATACACACATAGGGAGATATTAGCCAGGTGGCATAGGACTAGTAGTTAGCGCCTGATAAGGAAGCTCCTGCAAATTCCTCAATATTGTATTGATTAATATGTATATGCTAATTGTATTGACTGTATAAAATTGTATATCTATGTACTGTTAAGCCCTTTAGAGTGGCTTATGTTAGCTAAATAGGGCGCTATATCAAATTTTGTATACTTATTTATTTTATTTATTTATTCAAGACGTCTTGTCTACGTCACACTGTCTTGCAATACCTATATACACTTTGCATTGTGATGCTGTCTCATTCCTGAGATCGACCGTCATTTAGATAGTTTTCCCTAAGGCCAACATCATTCAATGTACAATTCAAAAGCATTACATCACTTTCAAGTGTTTTGAATCGAGCGATGCATTTATCAGACCTCACAAAATCTGTCCGATGCCCCGAGACCATGCTCAATGACGCAAAAATTGTGAGAATGATTGGGCAATCCGCCTGATAGATATCTTATGGCACAACATTTCCATTTTGTTACTTTAATGCAAACTCCAGTGAACATCGGTAATTAAAGACCTCCCCCGGCAATGATAAGGTATGCAAATGGCACGATACTGAAGAAATCGTTCCTAGTCTCAAATCTCGATAACTGCATCAAACAGCGGCCAGCGTAAGTGATGAATCCGGGCTGAGGGGTGATGACATAACGAAGAGGCCATATTGAGTCATCCATTGAGATATAGCTATAGTTACACACACAGAGTTCCAATGATTGGTCTTCAATTGCGTAGGATTACCACCATTTTTTGTCTTTGATAACTAAGGCCTCAAAATGTTTTTGTTTTTCAATGGCATTCCGACCCAATTTGGAGAAACTCGAACATAATTAAGGCTCCTCATCGACGTATTACCGAATCCCACGCTGCGAAAGCACGTCAAGTTCACTTTAAGCGACTGTGTTTTGACACTTAGTTCTATTATTCGGCAGCGTCGAAAACATATATTGAATATCCTTCATGTCTAAGCTGTCCCTACGTAAAGTACATGCAAGGGTCAATGCGTATATTGCAGGAACTTCCATGACAGGTCCAGGCGGCTCGTTTAAATAATTGTACGAAACGAAATGTTTTTGTCTTCTGAGCAATCTTTTTACTATCTCTTTTTATTGATTTTATTTCACATTATTGTCAATTACAAGTATGTTCAATATTACAGGTTGTAATTTGCTTGCTTGTTGTCAGGCCACGCCAGGAAACGCGGACACAAATACATTAGTCACGGGATGTAATGATAGTTCTGGCCGCTAGGTGTCATACCAATCTTTGTAATGATACAGGCGACCATTAAAGGTGTCATCCAAGTATAATGAACGGAAACTCCAATGCTCTGCTCAACCATATATACACTGTTGTAAAGTGCGAACCGCAGAAAATTGCATATCATGCAATTTAGCTGTAGCTCTTTCTACTTAATACACGCTCATCGACATCAAAACTATCGTCGCGACGTAGATACGACAAAGACCGACTTGATTCATTACTTTCACAATTACAATAGTTAAGCTCATCAACTGTTTTCTATCAATTCGGTATTTTTAATGTGAGATATTCCATCAGCAGGATTACCTATGCTTAAGAAATGGATAGTGTGCGTGCTTTTCACATGTGTTTGTGAATTCTATTCGTTAATGTCGCCGTTTGATGAATGGTAATAGCTCTAATCTGACCATTAATCGGACAATCGCTCTATTTATGACAATGGCGACTAGCTTGACGGTGCGACAAAAGAAATCTCAAATGATGTGTTCGGTAGCGATAATTTAGATGAAAGTCATGAAGTATTACCATCGTTGTGATGCGTATTTATCGAAATCAATGGCACTCGTACATTATATTAATTAAATTGTTGTATCTTTCCCAGCGGTATCATGCTAATTTGCAGTATACTATTTTTTACAAGGACAGGTTTTCCTATGTATTGTAACTATTGGATATTTATGCAAATTGTTGAAATGGAGAATGCATTGTCCGCGCAATGCTCCAGCGTTTAATTCACGAGTTAAACGGCATTTGTAAAAGATAAAAATATATTGACTCTTCGAACAACACAATTAATAATTTAAAAATGAAGACATAACACAATAATTTCCTCTACAGTTGATATCCGTACAGAATTGTACCATTCATTATCCTATTTTCTTTTCGTTACAGGCTGTGGAGGCTAATGTGTCCGGCTACTTCGCCGTCGTACACCCCGGTACGTGCCCGTCCTCCTGTAGTCCAAAGAACGTCATTGAACCGGATATAATGTGGGACGCTTTCCCTTGCCCACCTCCATGGAAACGGGAACTATTCTTGCAGCTAAACTGGACCCGATTATCTGAGCCGGCGGATCGACAACGAGTCAGGGATAGGGTGGCGAAACGGTGTAATATAAACTTGAAGGAACTACAGAATGCAGTGTTAGAGAGCTCTGGACAGTCCCTCATATTCATCGACTGTGACGCCAACTGTTTCATTCCAATCCTCGCCACTATCACGTGTGTCGTGTTCTTGTTTGTTGCACTAGTTGCATTCTTCATCAAAAGGTTCGTACATGTACTCTCCTTTGAATCACATGTTGTTGTTTTATTTCGAAAATACGTGTTTTTCCAGTTAGTACACTTAGCATAAAATATTCATAAATCAAAATAATTTCTATTTCTGTGTCAAGCGTACAATGTACTTGAATCACCAATTAATTTCGAGGATTTTATGGTGTGATAAACTCGAAGATAAGTCTGGCACTGGAAAGAACACTAAATGTACAACAAATTGTAAAATTGCGTGATACCATATTCAGAATTTAGATAGTAAATTTTGTACAGTTCTGGATTGGGGTCAGTTGATGTCGTGACATGTACTGCATATATGTTTTTCCTGTAAGATAAGAGAACAAATCAACAAAAATGAAACGCCTCATTTCCGTTAGTTAGCTGTAGTGAGACTTTATCAAGGAATATACAATATGTCTTCAAACTGAAGAGTTAAACAAAGGGAAATTACTCTTACCAAGCAACCAATGTCAACTCTTATAGTTTGTTTACCGCTATAAGTAAATGCGTACTTTTAGAAATTGAATTATATATAAAATGTATCCAAATGAATAAGACAAACTGTTGTACATTCAATTATTTAAGACTCGTATTTACTTTGCTATTCATGTTGTTTTACCCGATTGGTATACCATGTTGGTGTCCCACCGTTATTGAAAGAACTTTTTATGAAAGATGGAAAAAATCAAATATTGATTAATATTTATCATGTATTGCAATGCTATATTTTTTTTTTAAGAAATTAGTAAATTACACACCATGCTTTCTCATGAAACACATCGACATACGGCAGTTGTTTAGAAAAATACTGTTGAATGTATCAATAATGCGGGTTCTGGTTTCGGAAAAATCTTATTAAAGAAGCGACTGACGGCCATGTGGGGAGAGCTTTATTGCTGAGTGATAATGAAGTAAACCGCCATGTGTACGCGTACGAAAGTGCTGGTCCTGCTTGATAGGCCGTTAAAATACGATACTGAGAAACACAAGGACAACGCCAGTTGACAAACTGGCCTTCGTCTTTGGAAAATTGCTTGAATAAACAACGTGTTATTCCGTCATGCTGTCCTTGAATTACGACTAATTCCCAATAAACTGGGATGTATTGCCACACAGCACACCAACAGAAGTCATGCTGGTCTGTGTTGCAAGTCTCATAGGACCGACAAACACATCAATCCAAACGATACAGTCTATTTGGAACATTGCTCAATGGAGGGTTGTGTAGGAAATTCCTATACAACCTCTATTGAATAATGTTCCTCACTAATGTAATGTTAACCATTTACAACGAAGAATAAGTTGTGCGATGATCGACTGCAACTATAGAAGGGTTGCATTGAAGTGTGATAAAATAGTATTAGACATGTCTCGTACATTTGTATGTTCCTTTCATTTTGCTATCATAAGTCCTAAATGGGGAGAGGGAGGGGGGGGGTAAGTTGTGCTTCTTTGAAATGCCGCTTAACATAACAATGATTTGCTTCATATCCATTTTGTTAATCTTTTCGGCAATTTTAATGTAAACGACAGCGACTTCGGTCATGTGTTTGTAATCTTTTCCCATATTGGTCGTAACATGATTGAAGCATCTGGCTGCATTCAATTTTTTGTTCGTTTTTTTTTTAACCACATTATACTTGTTTTATACCTTGTCCCACTTTGTTTTACAGTGGAACATGCTGTATGTATGCCTAACTCTCGAATGTACGGCTCAAATACAGAAACAAAATATCCATGTCTACAATTGTCAAACATAAGACTGTTGTACAAGGGATGAAGAAAGAAGGCAAATGTTGTAGGTTCATTCCTTTTAGTCTAATACGCATTGTATGTGAAAACTAGATATCAAAGAAATAACTGAGATGTACAAATCGATGAGCTTGCTAGATGACACACTACACAAACTATCACTATGGGCACTCGCTAGTTTTATTTTCACAGATATAAATCACAACCATGTCGGTTTATCTGTGTTTTTCTTCCCGTCACGTGATACCGTTATCTCGGTTTTATTACAGTACTGTACGCTTCAGCGCTACCTTCGCGCCCTCGTTAACAATGGCCCTGGCGATATGTGTAGTACGTCACGACTGGGCGATAAAAACAAGGTTTATGCACACTATTTATGTGTAATTCGTCACACGTAGCTGTTATAGAAGTTGTGCATATGTACTAATAATATATTGCAAAAATGTTCCTATCATTGATGGCAATGGCTGTATTAGTGCTAAAGTTACACCGATACTGTAGAAGTGATAGCTTCTGTGTAGTACGTCACACCAATACTGTAGAAGTGATAGCTTCTGTGTAGTACGTCACATCGATACTGTAGAAGTGATAGCTTCTGTGTAGTGCGTCACATCGGTACTGTTCAATGGTCTTGTCCGATCAACGATAATAGTCTGTGTAGTACGTCAAACCAATGCGGTAACGTCACTTTTCCACTGCTGCATTGTTTCACCAACAAACAAAGACAAAAAAGGTGTCATATTAACAAGGTCAAGGTCGACAGCAATCACGTCAAGCAATGGAGCAATTTGCAAACAGTAATAGTGTAGTATGTCAAACCAAGCTTGTCATGACACAGTCCACAGTATTTGTGTACAGTACATCACACCATTACACAAAAACGACCAGCACTTCGAACGCCAACTCTCGTCTCGATATGTGTAATATGTCATTGGGACAGTAAAGGCATTGCAAATTTATAAAAAAAAAACACACAGGTAACATAGTTTTTACTTCCCCATTGGTACATGTAAACGTATCATGGAAAACAACGTACGATTACTTTTGATATAAAGAGCTATATCTTTGAAGTAAAAACGTATGAATATTTGTCTGCCAGAGTTCCAGCTGCTCCTCTCGGTACCGAGACTTTGAACCTATCCTTCTTCTTCAAAAAAACAATCTTGTCACATTTGATGCATTGCCCTTTAAAATTAAGCGTCGTAGTGCCTCTTAGATTGATTCATTTGTTCTGGAATCTGCCAAGAATCTTATGCATGATTGATCTCTCCTATGGTAGATATCGAAGAACATTTTTTTTTAATACTCCATCCACTTTTGAGCGCTTTTAAATCTTTGCTGTAGAGTTAGTTTAGTGAACATTTTTACATGTGTACCGTTAAATGATCTCACAAGGAAATCTATTATACAAGAAATGACATGTATTTGCCGCAACCATTTACTCGTTTTGCTTTCATTTATTCGTATATCTACAACCGTGATTTGCTGAGATTTGAAATGAATACCCCTTATGACGTCAAGTTGTACATGCTGCAAGTAATTAATACCTTATCGGGTTGTCAACGACAACCAATTACCTTAACTGGCGTCACTGGTGCCGTGCGGACCAACCCCTCTTTGTAACTATGACTCGTAACACACGATGCAGACCACTCAGACAGTGATCTTCGTCTGGACCAATAAAGTATATAACCTCTTAATATCCCTCGTGCTTCTGCAAACCGTCTGTAGTTTAGAGAAATATGCATTGAAGAAAGGATGAATAGTACAGTTGGGCCTCGTTAGGGAAAGTTCTCCCGAACTCCCTATTTCATCCAATGGATTTCCTATTCTTGGATCCATTAGATCGTTCATTGGTGGCGAGATCGGACTAGCCTAGTCCTTACCTGGCCAGCCTGGACATGCCTGACCTAGAGCTATGTTTAAGGCGGGGATTTCATCGAGATGTTTTCTGTAATCCGGCCCATCACCCATTACCTCCCCATCCTGTTTTATACACAGACAATTTGGAAGGTTGTTAAGTACAACGATGTTGTCTTCATTGAGAAATATATTTAATGCGGATGTGTCGCTGGAAACGGCGATGGCGTAATGTTAATCGTCCACGCGGACTAATTACATAAGCAGCAAACCGCTTTCGATTCATATGATCTACAATACTATTAATATAAATTGATTCCAATGATTAGACAATGTTTGTTTAAGGATAACTGTTGATTAAAACGTTGTCAAATGATTGAATGTAAATCTATTTCACACATTGAAAGCTTTATTTTAACTAATTACTTACTTTTACAGACAACACCGAGCGAGGTTGAAGAGTTCTGAATTTCCGTCTGAAAGTACGACTCCACATGCGGTCGCGAGACAGGAAAATCACCTGTACATGAGGTCCCCGGATGGATCAGGAGAAATGATACCCCGACCCACAGAGGTACGTTTTGGAAATCTCCGTCATATTCCAACGAGAGAATGTTCTGTTCAAATGCAATAAAACCATCTTAATCATAATTGTTCAGCTTAAAATTTTGTATTACCAATCTGTTGCAATGCTCTCAGGAAAACTATTTTTCTTACTATTGGTATGAAATGATCTTTTATCAGAACAAAAAAGTACAATCCTGCATGTTTTATTTAGCCGAGTTTACTTGTATTTCTAAAATCTAAAAATTAATCTGTTTGCCGTGCTCATACATTTATAAATGTCAGTCAAACCTTTTGTTTTGTTTCAGTCCGTCCTAGCTGATGCTGGTGTTGAAATCCGACTATTAGACAGCCAGCCCGAAGAAAAACATTTCATTATTCCAAAAGGCTACGACCGATTCTATGGGTCTCAAAAGGGAGGTAAATACCACTACAAACGAGGGAGGTTGGACACGCCCCTTCCGATGGAACCGTCGGAGGACACATCCGCTACGTACAGTGGGACGGACACCAATCATACCGATCACACGTACGAATCCGTCCGCGGAAGTATATATAGTGGCTCACTTAGGTTATCTGGTTCACAAACCGGAAGCTGTGAGCAAAAAGGTCACCCAGCCGTGTTAGATTTTTGGACTCAAAATATCCCGCCTGACCCGACGATGTTCAAGTGTGGATGTCCAAAGTATGGTACCCAGTATGCGAGTGTGTCCCAGGGCAATAACAGTGTGTATTACGACAGTGACAATTACTCTAGTCATCCCTACGATAAAATAGACCAGAACGTTTACCCTTACAATTACTATGGGGACAGGCGAAAAATTGTCAGTGACACAGAAACTACAGACAATCCTCTCACAACGAAATGGAAACGTAAACAATTCGCCAAAAAAAGGCGATTAACCGAACCACACATGAGACCAGATGTGGAGCCATCCCCTAAAACACGAGGACAGAAAAGTAATTCACATGACTTCGATAATATACCTGGTTTGGGACCCTGCCAGTGTGAGCAATGTCGGTTAGGGGAGTATCAACGTGAGTTAATGGCAAGACAGGAGGAAGGCAATATATATCAGTCAATAGAAAATGATTTACGAAACTCCGGCTATATATACGGTGCACCAGATTATGATTCCGGATGTAACTGTCAGATGCCAGAAGTAGACCAATATAGGGATCCATACTGGGTGCAGCCCCCCAATCCTGTACAACAACGTGTGTGCAATGTATGTGTGAATCCGGACCAACAAAGTATGTATCGGGTAGGCGATAGAGGATTGACCCCGATGGTGTCTGCGCCGCGGTCCGTTCATAGTGAAGGTCATTCCGGAATAGATAGAAATTCATACATGTCCCCTGAACTTTATAACCTAACTCAGTTTGATGACAATAGTCCTGACCACAGAAAAACGCGCCGAAATAAGTCTGTGACAAATCTGACGTCACCGGGTGCTTCCAAGTCTGGGACGGCCTTCTCAGACTCGTGTTCCACAACAGAACGTCCTCAACGCACGAGAAGAATTCCTAAAACCAATGGGTCACTGTATAAATCAAAATTGATGAATAGGTGATGACGACTTGAGTATGATCTTAATAGCAGTATTATTTTTCCATCTTTTACCCTTGTGCTCAAATTAGACCAGTTATCTACCCCTGCTTTAGGACAGTTGTCTATGGAAGCCGACAGGGGCTGTCAATGTCATTCACATGTCAGACAGCGCATGCGGACTTCCATATTTTTGTAAGTTGGGGTCGATGCCTAGTGCCTACAGTCTTGCCAATGCATAAGCATTATAAAAAATTGGAGTTTTTTTGTCTTTTTTTATTTATACGAGCTTGGCCAAGCTCCTTTGTGATATTTCCCAGGGTTAATACTTTTTAATCTTATCTTTATAAGACATATTTGTAATTTGTATTTAAAATACCAAGAAGTGAGGAATATAGTCAAACCACGTGTTCCCGGCAACTTTATTTGAAGACAAACACATGTTCACTGAGCCTAAATCGCTTCCTTTGTGTTTTTATATGGTTGCGGTGATATCTGTGGTTTGATCATGTGACCTACACACTTGGTAATGACTGTTAAATTCATTCATATTTAATATGTCTCATAACTTGTTTTTGTTATACGACATACATAATTAGAAATTTAGAATTAAATAGAAATAATTTGAAACTAGTTTCATTCTGCAATATCTCAATACAATTATGTCTTTTTCAAATCAATTATATTGCAACCTTGTTTTGATTTGTGTTAAAGCGACAGCAGCTTGCTTATTTAAGATCAGAACAGATTTTATGACTATGAACGGGGTTTTTTTCAAAAAGAACTAGTGAGATGTATCTAATTGGAATCCGATAGCCTTGAAGCAATTTTGGTTTTCAATAAATCTGAGTAACCATGGAACCACGCGTGCTATGTTCTCTTGAATAACGGTTTCCTAATGACGAACTTTCTGAACCGTGATGAAATGGAGTTGTATTCCTGGTTCACATTAAATGTGGAAAGTTTTAGCATTTGGTATTATGGAACTTATTATTCATAATGAATCTTGATATATTGATGCATACGTATTGTTTGATGTGATGATTTTACAGACTGGTCTAACTCTTCCCAGAGTGTGTTTTAATGTTCTATTCCATATCAAGAATGAATATAAAGGACTCCCGTATGGGTATTGGTGTGTTTATCGATTACAGTGAGAATGACATATGAAGGCACATTTTAAATATATGATATCTTCTTAATTGTTATAAAATCAGACATAATATGTAAGTCTTTGGACTCGAAATGGTCACCCCATTATGAATATTTCTTGTTTTATTTAATTCAATTGACGCTTACATTTTTCGCTTTCTGCAATATCTAATGATACAAAAGAGACATCCGCTCATGATTGTGACAATGATACCTTTTTGAGGTCATGATAGTGACTGGCTTTTCATTGTGTTGAATGTTTTTAGGATGATGAAAATTTCATTAAATAATTTACAAAATAAATATACTGTTGTACAAAGAAAATGAATAAGACGTGAAAAAGTAACAAGTAAGTACATTTGCTTTATCAACACGAACTGGTGACCGGCTACGAGATGTATAAGGGATACTACCAGTCTACAGACGCTTCAGAAAATGAATAATTAATTAAACATCATTAATTATACCATTAAGATAATGAAATTGATAAATATGAATTCTGATATTTATAGAAGATCGTTGACGCGTCGAAGGTGTATTCTCTAAATGCAAGTTATATTCGATACTTCAGCTTAAAGGTCTCACGTTGATTTTGAAGGTATGTTGTTACTAAGGTAAATTCACGAGACATCTGGTGCTACTGTATTACATTTCACATGGTATGTATGTACTGTATTTCATGTACAGTAACAGGGTATGTTTGATATATCGACATGTATGGAATTAACATGTGTGTGTTCTAGTAAGCTTTATTTTAAAACATACTCCACAAGATCACTTTTTTTCGAGATACGCCTTGAAATAATCGAATGTGAATTTTGACACATTTATCAACAGGCTTTAAATTTAATATATCGTTCTTTTTCTTTCAATTCACTTTGTTGAGTGACAACTATATTGTTAGTCTCACTGTAATATTTGATGATTCATGCTGAATGTGTATCAGTTGTTATATATACTTTGATTATGGGTTTGCATTAAATTCTAGTCTCAAATCATAAATAAGATTCTTATTTTTGAATCTAGTCATTTTTAGAAACTCCATTTATAAGACAATCAAGTCTAAGGTACACAACCCGTTATAGAGAGGATCTTGTTGAGATGGTATTTTCTTACAACAGTATTGCTAATCTGTAGGCTCCAAATTAGAACCCCACAACAAACATGTCAATGTGCATTGGGTTTTAGAAAAACAATCGAGATTTGTATCAAACAGTCACACCGTTGAGAACATTCCAGACTTAGAGAACAATATAATGTATACCATATTCAGTAGAATACTTAATAACATATTGCGATATCTAAGGTTTCCATATTTGCAGAATTCCCAGACATTCTTCTACAAAAAGATAATTAAAACAGTTCTGATAAAATGTAATTATTATGACCTCTTTTGATGGAAATCCTACAGTTGCATGTCTCAATAAATATACACCAATTTCTAAATAAAATAGGTGTGCCCTTAAAAGGATTTTGTTTAATATGAAGGGTAAAACAATTTTCTATCATTAAATTCATGGTTGTATGTAATACAGTTATATAAATGAGTTTACATTTGTATTCTAAACAATGCTGATGTTTTTTAATTCGTTTGACCCAGAAACAAAAACCCAATAACAAAATAATCAAAGTGAAGAGAGTATGTCCCTCGGCCAAAGAAACTGTCAAATAGGTGTTTAACACAAGAACAAAGACATGGCTATGGAGACTTATAGGTTTTAGTGGGTGTATTGCATTTTTTTTAAAAACATTACGCAATACCCCTGTGAATAACGAGTAGATTTGTTGATTCCACTGTTTACGGACATTCGTCGGTAGTACCAAGAACTGCAGCTTTTAATCACAATATATAAAACATCAAAGTATTCAACCTTCCAATAAAAAGATTGAGGGGTTTTTTTTCATTCAAATTGCATTTATCTTTTTGTATCTGTCATATTCTGAATCAGACGATATACCTTTCATACCTTTTTTCGAATTATTTTCGGCCAACTACAGCTATATCTTATACCATATGCCAGAAAATTGCATCAAGATCGTTTACAAATCACTTTTCGTTTTCTCTCTACATGAAATTTAATGAGACAAAAATGCTTTCCAACAGTCGAGAAACACACATACATCACTTTATTACGAAGAGTCTTTTTGTAGACTTTTTAATATATTTAATGGTATTGTGATTAACGAAATACACGAGTATGTCAAGTCAAGTATCTCAGTCATGCCACGTGTCGGGTAGAAGTCACGACATGTGAGCTATGCACCATGACGTCGACTGTCTTTGAATGTGATAGCGACGAGTCAGTGCATGCGTTAATTAGGTAGGGAGACTTTGACTGCTCAGCATCTGGACCGTGTAAACTCAGACACATGATACAGATAACGAAAACTCGCAGTAGTTTCATTAACGATACTTCCGATCAGACTTATTAATAGCTTGTTCGCTTTGATAAAATAAATGAAGGTCGTTGCTAAAACACTTTCCATACCTTTGCGCTGATAATACAGTTACATTTGATTTGCTCCATGATCAAGTCAATTATACAAAAAGTAATTGATGATTTATGATTCGGTAATATTGCTGAGGAAATAATAGTATTCTTTTGTTTACATCATATTTCCCAACCAAACATTCCAACTCCGGAACTTTATGAAAAAAAAGTCTGTTTTCGGCTTTTTTCATTCATATGAATTACTGATCTCTGCATCTTCATCAAACATTTGTTATTTCATATTCACATAAATATAGAAAACGACATGAAGTTTTCAGATCAAGATAAATAATTACATAAACGTCGAACCACACAACTAATGTGTTATTTTGTTTTCGGTATACGTCCCTTTAAAGTTATAACTTAATCAATTGTTGACTTTAAAGATAGAAGTCACTTTTTTTTCTTTTTGTTTGTTTGTGAAAGGTCGTAATTAATATGCTTTGTTATAAAATATACCAGAAAATTAAACACTTGTTATTTTTTGTAATGATATAAGTATGGCATCGTTTGTACATTAATATTATTATATAATGTTATGGCGAGAATCTGTGACTGTATTGTTCCTAAAGAACACGTTTTCCAGTTTATTGTTCCTACGTGGAGAGAAGACAGATTGATATACACATAAACACATGTTCATGTCAGGGTCCTGTTGTTAAGTAAGTTTAGTAAGGTATAAGATTTGTCCCTAATTAAATCATGAACAGTAGGGGTTTTTTCCTATTAATGATTCATGTAAACTTTCTTTTCATTGGCCACGGTATCAGAATCAAATTTTAATGTCTGACGTACGCTTCATCAAAAATCTAAGATATGTAGTACAGCAAATGCTAAAATTTAGTAGTTCCGCTTCCGGTTTTTTATGGCGGTTTATAGTATTTTATTGCCCTTGTGTATTTACGATGTGGTTTTGGTTTTATATTACACTCGTTCTTTTTTCTTGCTGAGGCAATACAAAACAATCTTTTTCGTAGAAGCCTTTATTCAAGACTTAAATATTGTTTCTGATATTTTGGCCAAAACAAATACTCATAGATTATATTCGAGAGGCAAGTATTGGAGTTTTGTTATGAGAAACAGGCTTTTTAATGTGTGCAATATTGTTGACATGGACTCTACATGTTAAGCTATGCTGTATTCCCCCGACCGGGTCCTGTTCCCAGAGTGTGGATGTTAAGGTGATATGTACGATGATAATATTGTATTGAAGAGGGTATATTTGGTTGTGAATATCGTTGTTTTATAACATCATATGTGTAACAAGTGTATTCATTGCCAGAACGTTGTTGAATATCAAAATAAACATTTTGAACCAATTGATTAATAGACTACTGTTATTATTATTTTGATATTTGCATGTATTCAATAACAGCAATCACATATTTTTCTGGAATTGACATATTTCAAAATCAAAAACAATCAAAAAGTAATATATATATCCAAGTTGAAAATGTCTTTGTAAATATTTTCGATATAACGAATGATCAGATAATGGCTGTTTAATACCTTCATATGCATTCCTTTCCAGTACCCTAATGCCCTCAATTATAAAATCCATAATAATTTTTAAATTGTTAAAATGAAAACGAACCGACGATAAAAAAATCTTCATAGCAATCAATTTTGAAATCAGGTAACATTTCCTCTTTTTGATTAATGACAAAATGGCAGCAATGGCGGCGGTATTGAAGAAAGCATTAGAATTGCGAGGAGGAGGGGATTGAACAAACAAAGAATGGAAATTCGATTTCAAAATTGACATTTGTCATTTTAATTTTGGATTCTGTACCTCATCAAAAGAGACATGTATCAGTAATTGTTTGTGACTATTTCAGCATCCCTTTGAAAGAAATAATGACATATTATGTTAGGCTATTTACAGCTTGAGTTCTGATCAATCTACTGACACAAGCTTACAACCAGAGGACATAGTAGCATTCGTCATCATCAAAAACACCTGCTATCTTCAGATACTGCATCCAGCATTACTTCTTTTAATCGGCAATCTGTGGCATCATACTGAACTGTGAGCGCCACTCCCTAACCACGATCCCAGTGGCAGAACTATCCTTATCTCTATTTCTATTTTGAGGAAAACAATATTTCGACAATGATTGATTTATTATTTTTCGGTTGAAACAAATTTAAAAATGAATTATATTCGTAGCATTAACGTCTTTTTATCGTTACCTTGTGTAGCGATAAATCACGTGGAAACTACCATAACTTTGACAAAGGGAATCAAACAGATAAAACTAAATAAGAAAACGATCAATAGTATTACATGAAAATTCCGGCAGGCCCCACTGGTATAGTCTCGGTCACCGTCTCGAATCCATATTTCTGTTTGGTAAAGATGATTAAGCAATTTATTATGCTTACGTAATTCACAAATCAATGTTTCAAGGACGTGTAGTTATCACTAACATATATTAGAGTGAACCTGGCTGTCCTAGTTACGTCATATCCATTTTTCTTTGGGGTAGAGAGTCCCAGCGTTTTTTGATTGTATTATCAACAAAGGTAAGGTCTACTTTGTCAGAATTTTTCTGACATGGGTTTGCTTACCCTTTTACTATGGTTTACCTCGCCATGGGCGTTTCAATACCCGGATTTATTTATTACAAAGCAGGGAGCTTTTCCACCAAGCTAGCAGAATTCTATTATGGTATAACTTGACACAATATTACTGGAAATTTCAAAATATTATACCTTACAAAAATGCTCGCAACGTATACTATTCTTAATATACATTATATTACATAAACTTAAAAGGAATGTATCTTTCCAATCCTCCTATATTCTAGAAAAGTCGTCTATAAATGTTTATGATAATGTTTAGGGCAATACATGTTGAAAACATGTATTCGAACTACCTATCAGCATCTGATAATTTACTGTAAGTAATGTATATATCATAACTTAACAAAGATTCACTGGCCCCAGTTGTTACGTCAAATTCCAGTATATCTAAACAGCCTGGCAAGGACAAGTTCTTATGATTTATTTTTATACTGTAATCAATATCCTATTGGGGTACACAATGTTTTGTATGGTGATTTATACAATAAAAATGAAACTTTTCTATTGCGACGTACACCAAAATACAAAGTTTACCACAACGACATCCTACCAGAAAAAATAAATCCCGAGCCGTTCAAATCTACAGTGGGCTTAAATGTAGCAATACCTTCAATAGTTACCTTTGTCGTTATCAACACTCTGATATTTCACTAGCACTACAAAATGTACCAGTACAATGCATGCTTCTGCTCTTATAGTTTGTTTTGTATAATTCACAAGTATCAGTTAAAAATATAACACTCTAGAGTTTTAAACTCAGTGTCGTTAATTACTTGGATTTCCTTCCTCAACAAAACAACACGAACCTTAAGATCTCAAGTGAAAGCAATTATTGAAATGATGTTAACGTTTTCTTTTCCTTCAGTGCCAATACCACCAGCCTTGACGTCATTAAGGCAAAGTTTGTTTTATGAAATAATACCAATCACACAATAAGAAATAGGGCAACGACCGGCAACCTTCAGAAAATGTTATTAATATGTTAATATGTTTGCAAAAAACTACAAGGACATGAATTGTATTAGTCGCAAAAGAACTTTATATCTGTCAAAGACAGACGTCATGTTTCCAACAAACTAAAAAAATATTATTCTAAAATCAATATATCAATGTTCACTTTTGGCGATGTCTATACAATGAAAAAAGTCAACAAAACAATGTCACGAATCAATACCAGTAACACGAATTGACATGTTTAATGACACACAAGCGAGCAGCAATTACATCGTCCACTAACTGCATATATTTCAGGAAGCGCTAAATTTACTTGTGTGTTTTGAAAATGCTGGAACTTTGTCGATTTACTTTTTGTTTATTTGAATATCAGTTTTTCTATTTCGAATAATGCTACAATCGTAGGGGTTTTATGCACTATAGAAATGACATAGAAACCTTCAATACTGAACAGGTTTTAACTTTTCAACAACCTTTAGGTGAAATTCGATTTTTTTTTTTAAATAACGTGTACAATTTATAAATGCGATGTTAATATGGATCGAAAGTCGGCGAACGTGTTTACATCTTTTCATCTCGCGCCATTCTGGTTTTATGCCTTCCGAGACCCAGAAAGATAATATCGAGTAAATCTGACGTGAATACAGTACCAACATTACAAATTGTGACTCTTGAATTTAACGAGCTTTACACGATATGTAGCTACATGTAACTGCCACCAATACTCAGTTTTAATATGAATCATACAGCATAGGTCATACATGTTTTAATGAGGCTCCTAACTCTAAAGTACGATTTCAGTATAAACTCATTTTCTGTTTTGCTATTCTAAGTTCATTGTCAAATCTTATTTGTGAATGGAGGTTTTATGTAGTTCTTACAAAGCAAAACAAAACATGCGCAGTGAAACTCACAAATAATATTATTATTTTGACACAGTTAAATAACATACAAGCAATATTTTCATGAGTGATATTATGTAAAGAATGGCGAATAATTTTGATTGATATAGAAAATACTTTTATGGCAATAAAAACTGTCTGATTTCTTTACTTCGAGTCCTTTATTACATTGTT